AAGTCACCAAGCTGCTGATCTGTACACGTGCAGACATGAAACATGGTCCGTTCTCACACCGACCAAAATTCTTTTGGTGAAACTTCCGACTTGACTGCTTTCTTGGACTTTGTCTTGTCCATGTCGACGACGAGTTTTCCCGTCATCATCATCTCCTTCAGCTGCTGACACTTCATGCTTTTGGTGAGTCCATCGGCCACCATTGTCTTCGTCTCGATCCAGCATACCTTGGTGGTTCCATCATCTGGAGGGCGATCATCATAGAGAGGGTCTCCGACTTCTTCTCCTTTCTTCCTCCATATCATCTGCCTCAACCCGCACAGGTCGATGGCGAGTCTTTTATCTCCCACAGAGTGTAGTCCTGGTTGGCAGAGGTGTTCTTGTAGGCTCCGGCAATCTGTGAGGAGGTGCATGGTGGTGAGGTCCATAGCATCCACAAGACGGTGGTCTTTTGCTTCAGCGTCGGACAGTCGAATACCACACAAAATAGCACGGAGATGCTCTGCTTCTTCAGAACCTTGAAGCATAGAGAGCGTTTCCGCTTGTAGTGTGCTTCGACATACTCGCCTGATGACACTTGAATGAAACCCAATGATATACACGGTTCCATTTCCAGTCTTCATGAATGAAGAAGGTGCGAGGAGGAGCATCCGTCCGCTTTGGCTTCTGTGGCCCATCAGCTTCCCGTTCTTGTTCACATCGTAGTCCGCAGCGTGGGAGGCGTCGGCGACCGAGAGAATCTCCATGTCGTTGAAGTCCAGGGCCTCGTACTTATACAGGATCCCCTCGTTCGGAGTTTTCTTCACATAACTCAGGACGCTGTTGCACATCACCAGGTCGTTCACAGTGGCTTGGCTCATTGAGGTTTGCAGCTTGTGGACGGCATATGCGATGTCGGGCCGGCACACTCGCGTGACCCAGTTCAGCGACCCTACCACACTCCGAAGTTGGCTGATCTCGGCCGCGGTGGCGTCCTTGTCCTTCTCGTAGCGTCGCTGCCCGTCGAGATGTACTCCACGTACCTTGGCTGCCGTGTTCGGGCACGTAATCTTTATCCCATCGACTTCTTCTCCTTGTTGGATGGTCCGGCCGCAGTACTCGAACTTATCCCCATGTTCCAGGCTCCCGAACTTGAACTCGGCCTGGATGGCAGCCATCACCTCGTCCATCTCCTTGTCTCCACACCACAGGAGGTCGTCCACGTGGGACACAAGGATCCCGGAGATGTTCCCATCCTTATTGTTGAGCACATAGGCGGCGTGTTCGTGAGGAATGGGGCGAAGTCCTTGGACAACGCACACGGTGTGAAGTCTCCGCCAAAACCCTCGAGGAGCGTCCCGTGTTCCGTACACGGGCTTATTCGCTATCAGCAGCGAGCCTTCTTCCACGTCAGGCAAGCCTCCCTGGGAGGGCGTAGAACCAAGACCCTGCTCATCTGCTCTCCTTGAAGGAAGGAGGCTGTGATGTCTCCTCCGTGTAGCCTCAGCCTCTTGCTTGCCGCATAGGAGAGCAGGACGTTGAGCATGGTCCCGCTGCAGGTAGGCGAATCCGTCCGGGTCCCACCTTCTCGTTCAAGATCTCCACGGACAGCTATCCTCGCCTTGTAGCGTGGCGGTTCCCACGGTTGCGCTTTGTCCGTTTCTACCCACCTGGTGGGCACGATCTCGGACTGCGGGTTTTCGGCCAGGAACTTGGCCGCTTCCTTGGGTGCCAACACCTTGACCGCGTCAAACCCCAACCAATTGCGCCATTCGGCTCGCCGTGCTCCATCCCTTCCTTCTGCTCGCCGGTCGCCTTGGAATAGTTCAACTCCTTGGACCGGGCTGCCTGGCTCTTCTTACACACACGCCGGGCAAGGAAGGCGTTGAATACCCTGGGGCCGTTTTCTTCAACGTCTTCTCCAGCTGGGTTGCGGGATGTCGGCGGAGGTGATCTCGATCTCCCTCTCCGGGCCCAGGTGACCCCATCGACAGCATCAACTGATCGATGAAGAGCGCGTTGAAGAGGCGATGGTGTAGGTGGCGCTCGTGCTGCCGGACTAGGCTCGGTGGTGGTGCTTCCCACTACCTCGCTGGCTCGCCGGCTCGGTGGTACAAGCTCCTGTTCCGGCTCCATTGCTGAGCTCGGCGAAGAGCCACCCAGCTCATCATCATCACTTCCGCCTGGGACCGGAATCTCATGAACGGTGTCCAGCGGGATTCCAGGTGGTGGTGGTCCAGGAGGATGTTCGAAAGGACTAGGGCTTGCGACCTCGGTGATTGTCGTTGCCGGGCTCGGGTTCGCTGCTGGCGCCGGAGTGGTCTCAGGCGTTCCATCTCCAGAGATGTCAAAGTAGGTCCTTTGTGGTTGTGCACCAAGACCTCCAGATAGATCATCTCCAAAAGGGTATCCATACGGGTTGCCGTCCTCGTTCTCTGCCTCATCCTCACGTTTTCGCTTCCGGCTGGGCCTCAGTTCCAACACTCGCTTGGCCAAGGCCTCGTTCCCGGTGGCGTACCTGCAGTTCTCATTGGAGACAGTGAGGGGAACTCCTCCGTGGATAATCCACATGGTGCTCTTGCCCTCATGCCCAATCACACGGGCAGGTCCATACCACTTGCCCTGGCTGTTCTTCCGGTCCTTCCGGTGGAAACATACCAGATCTCCAACAGCATAGGGGCCTCGGGCTGGCGTCGACTTCCGAAGCATTGCTGAACGGATCCGGGAGGCGCTGTCCGTCTGAGCAAAAGCTTGCCTGGCAGCATTGCGAATCTGAAGCTGCTTCGCAAACGTGCTCGAGCCATAATCAATCTCCTGATGGACTCCAAGGTGTCCATCTGCTCCCAAGTTTGTGAGGGCGTCGCTTTCAAGAGGTAGCCGCCCAAGGACCCATTGAGACGGCGTGAAACCGCCGTGGTGAATCCTGTTGTTCTTCACCGAGGTGGCTTCGATCACCAGCATCTCGATCGACTCCACACCATGAAGTTGTCGTTCGGCAATGGTGTGGCGCATGATGTCCTTCAAGATAGAGCCCTGCCGTTCTCCTCTTCCAAGTTGGAAGGGAGATTCCAGGCCGACGTACCTGATCTCCACCCCGAACGCCTTCAACATCGCTTGCAGGCGTCCACGGTTCTCACATCCTCTGTCCATGGTGACAGTCTTCGGGCTTCCTGCCCAGGCAAACCAACGTTCTTGTAGAACACGAGCACATAGAGCACTGCTTGGGGGCCCGGCTCCGGTTCCAACATGAGCCGATACATGGAAAAGTGTGCCGAGGTCCACCATAGACATGATCTTGTGTCGCAGTCCTCTCGTGTCCTTGATAATGAAGATGTCGAGGGAGATCTCCTGGTTGAAGGAGTACTCGGAGGGCATCTTCGTTGGTGCCGGTTTCCGTGGTTTCACAACGGACTCGCACGAAGGGCAGGTGAAGTGGTCGAGCGCGCGGATCACCTTGGGGTCTGCTCCGGCCGTCCGAAGAAGGCGCTGCATCGAGGCTGGTGAGGCGTGCCCGGTCATGTTGTGCAGCCTCCGCAAAGCCACGCGCTGTCCGTAACCGAGCTCCTTCCATGCTGCACGCTTCGCTTGCAACGGAAGAGCTTCTTCTCCAGCTTGCCCTCGTCCTGGTCCCTCCTCGGCCATCACATCGTTTTCCTCATGGTCCTTGCGTTCCTTGTAGGTAACCAAAGGATCATCTGCGGTTACAAAGTCCTCTGGACCAAGGATTCCATCCAGCAGGGGCATCTCTTCGGCATCACCATAATCATCTTCATGTTCAGCTTCAGCTGGAAAAGCGGTCCTGGTATGGAGATCGTCCAGGGACTCAAGCAGTCCCTCCAGCACAGCCACAGCCTGGCACACGATCGGGAACCTATCCTGGGGAGGTCCTTCAGGATATTCTCCTTTGTCGTGGCATTGCCAAAGTTTGTTCTTCACCTGCAGGGTGGCGGTGGCATACGCTGTCTCCTGGTTGTTCATGTTGTCGGACTCGCCCTTGAGCACCTCAAGGTGTTCCAAGGTTCCCCCGTCGACAGCGGGGTTGTTGGTCTCCTTCATGACCTGAGCCAGCTTCCATAGATCACTGTTCCATGGGTGCTCAAAGAAGAACTGACGTCCCTTCTCAATTCTTTCTCTGCCAACTCGAAAAATCCACTTGATCACCGGGGTCCACTTCTGGCGAACGCGAATGACTTCTTCCCACGGTGAGCCTTGAAGAACCTGGCCCCAGATGGACCAAAGAGGTTCATGGTAGGTGCAGGAGATCACATAGGGGTCGCCCTGGCAATCTGCCTCTCAATCTCAGCCCTTCCAGCCTCGGTGGTCAGGTCGTGGTGGTTGTGCTTCAAGTAGACTGGTTCCGAGACGGGAAGCTCGTAGTCGATTGCGGCCATGTGGGTGAGAAGGGCCGCTCCTGTCACCAGCTCCATCAGGAAGGTCCGGCACCCCCTTGGTAGTAGATGTTGTCCATGTCGTCTCGTTCCCTTGGTCGCCAGCTGATTCCAAAGGTGATGGTCACGCGCGGTGACCTCTTTGATGCCGTTCTCGACCTTCTGGTGCTGGCTGCGATTCATAGTCCGCCCGCTCAAAGTGTCCAGGGCCAGATATACTGGCGCCTCAAGCCTCCCCCGGCTGTGGTCTGGATTCATGGTGTGGTTCTGGTGGTTGCTGTGGTCCTCTTGCTTGGCCGTGTCTTCGCCCGCCGCGCTCTCGTGGTTAATGTGGTCCCGGTCCTTCGAGTCCTTGTCTGTCGGGTGGTCGTAGTCCATGTGTGGCCGTCCATCATCATCGGCCACCTCCGGGGGAAGTAGTCGCAGGCCAAACAGCCCATTGTGGATCACCAGCTTGAGGGTCTTGCCAAGGGTCTGTGAATGCTCCACTTCCGCCGTGAGGTCAATGACCAGTCCAAGAGCCTTTTGGGCCTGAAGAGATAGTAGAAGAGGTGCTGTGCTGTTCTTGAGCTCGGTCGACGTGAGCTCGCCTTGGGCTACTCCTCCGCCAAGCAGCTCAAGTGACAACGGAAGCCTTCGTTGTCCATTGGTCTCCACTCTGCCACCAATTCCGCGTATGTTCGTGCCGTTGTCATCCTCCAACTCCGGGGTCTTCTGGTCTGTGGCCTGAAGATAACGCTCCAACCAGGCATCCCCATGGCATGTGAGATTGCATCCTGTATCTAAAATGGCCACCAGATCCTGCTCGGCAAACACCTCAGGTGCTAAGGGACCCCAGGATGGTCTGGATTCGTGTGGTTCTGGTCGTTGCTGTGGTTCTCTTGCTCGGCCTCAACCATAAAGACCAACCTATCGGTCTCCTCGCGGGTCAAGAGGGATCTCCCAAGGTAGAGGTTGTAGTCGATGAAGAACTGTCTGAGGTTCTTGTGGGTTCGCGGCTGATTCGCTCCCGCCATGTTGCTCACAAACCATAGGCGGTAATCCTCATCTTGGAAGGCCTGAAGATAGGTCCGGTCCAGGTACTTGCCGAAGGTCACGACAGTCTCGCTACGAATCCGCATGCGCTGAGCTTGCTCCTCCTTCTCGGCTGCCGTTCGCGCACGCCCGAGGTCCATGGGTCCCTCGTAGCCATCAGCCGGCTTCTGCCAGATCTCCGCCTGGCGCAGGGTGAGCTTGAGGGCCTCCTGAAGCCGTGCTCCAGGAATACGCTCTCCTGGTGGTAGTAATTCAAGTCTCGTTCTCATGGCCTTGGAGAAGGTGTCGATGACGTGGAGGGCTTCGTCCGCACTGAAAGTTGAGGGGCTTTCGGCTTCCTGCTCGCGTGAGGTCTTCTTGTAGGTCATGGCCGCCTCAAAGCGCTCCTGAAAACCACAGTCCATGCAAGTCTTGATGCGGACGAATCCATTCGAGCCTCTCCAATGTACTCGGTGGTGAGCACATCCGGGAGTCGCCTTCGCCTTTGGGGTTGCTCCCCCAGCTCGTCTGATCTTTTCCACGACGACGCCACAGTCCTTGCACTTCTTGATGGTGTAGTACTGGTTCGATCCGTGTGCCGTCAGGTTCCGGTGAGGGCACACTCTGGTCACCGTAGCTCTCGGAGCTGCCAAGGGTGGCGTCGAGGTAGACGAGGTAGTCGAAGTGTCGGCTTGTGTGGCCTCTGGCGCCGCTGTCGCTGAGGGGTTGGCAGCCTCAGAAGTGGTGCTCGGCTGCTCGGCCGCTCCAAGTGCTTCAATCAGCATGACCATGTCCTGGTCCTCATCGAGGGGCTTGTTCACCCAAGCGGCATCAGAGGATGCCTGTGTCATCTCCTGGGTGGATAGCTGTAGGGTGAGTCCCTCTGTTGCTTGTCCATCACGTAGCGAAGCAGGAGGAGGAACAGCATGATATCCTCCTTGAGCGTGTCGGGCTCCTTGGTCTGGAACTCGGAAGGCGAGGAAGGCGGTCGCGGGGCCATTGGGATTTGCCGTCTCGTTTATGGAAAAGTAGACCGTGTGGGGCTTCGTTCCAGTGCCACCACTTCCAGTGGAGGGGTTTCCTTTGGAGTGGGCTGCTCCCTTCCCGAAGCGTCCGTGGTGCGAAGTGCTGGTAGACGACGTAGTCCCGGCTCTCGCGGCTGACCCCTTGCCCTTGCCCTTGCTGAAAGGGCAAACAGCATCCCCCGACCAGTGTCCTGTAGCCCCGCACTTCCTGCATGTCGTGCGGGCCTTCAAAGCCATCAATTTTGCCTTCTTCTGGTCCAGGGTGAAGCTGCCGCTGATCTCAAAGGGTGGTGGTTTCAGGGCACGGTGCCCCTTTTGCGCACCACTCTGCCTGGCAAGGTAGGCCTCCTCCTCAGCCTGGATAATGTTGGCGGCGTAGTCGCAGGCATCATCATCAGCCAGGTCTAGCCCTTGTTCGCTGAGGAAGGCAAGGTGTTCTTCAGCATAGTTGCCCTGCTCCGGGTAGTCGTGGTAGTCGGCACCGTCATCCGTCTGCTGCGGGTACACACCAAGATGTGCGGCCGGCTCGTGGATGGCATAGTCGTCGTCATAGAGCTCGTCCGTGCCGTACTCATAGTCCACGTCCACGTGAAAGGCTGTCCTCGGGTAGGGCTTGTGGTAGAAACCTTTCTTGCCTCCTTTGCTCCCAAGGGGAGTCCATGAAGCAGGTCGTGGTGCATAGGTGCTTTTGCCCGAGTCGAAGGGCCTTCTTGATCCCATGCCGGCCTTGGGGTGCTGGTTGATGAGCTCGGCAGCCACCTTGTCAAAGGTGATCTTGTCCTCACCGACGGCGGTGCGGATGAGGAGCTTGTGGTCATCACTGATTCCCGAGTTCATCAAGAGCTGCTCTGCCAGCACCATCTCCGGCAACTTCAGCTCGCTGTTGAGGTCCAGCATCGCCCGATACCAGGCCTTTCTCCGCAGAATAAACTGCGGCATCGTCTCGGCTGGCTGTCGGGATAGAACACCTCCACTTTGTGCTCCTGCTTCATATAGTTCTCGTGCCTGCTGTTGACGTCGCGGACGGAGATCCAGGGCAAGGTGCTCCATCAAATAATCCGCACCATGCTCTTTCTCCAACTCCTCAATAGCCAACAGCTGTGCCACTTGCAGAGCGTGTCCGGAGAGGCCTTCGATGAGCCGGAGGCCTAGAGGCCCCATCTCCTTCTTCTTCTCATCCGAAAGAGACTTCTCCCTTCTCTGCCGGGTCTTGACACGGAACTGCCATTCGGCAAAGCGTGTCGGATCACCGTTGTATCTCGGGATCTTTCCACCGTCGGCCGCATTCTGGCCAAAGGCGCCATTGTTATCCTCCTCCTGGAGGAATCTCGGAAACGTAAAGGCTTCCAGCAAGCTGCCTGCCATGGCACCGCCGGTCGCCTGGAGCGAAATGCTCCGCTACCAGTGCCAAAGCACTGGAGCGAAAAGTCCTTTTGCTGTGCATGCTTGAGCCATCGTCGGTCGGAAGTCACCAAGCTGCTGATCTGTACATGTGCAGACATGAAACATTGTCCGTTCTCACAGGCTCTCTTTAAACGGCTTCGAAGCCGGTAGGCTTGCAAAATGGTCGGCGAAAGGCATTCTGCTTAAGTGATCCGGGCTTGCGGCAACCGCGGGGGCAGTATCCTGTAACCGCCTCCCAGAATCTCACGCTTTGAGGAGGATCCGAAGATCGGACCCAAAGTTTACCTGAAGGCGCCAAATAGTCCACGTCTGCCCAGGCCTCCCCAGCAAAAGTCGGTAGGAGGGCCGCCTCTCGCGGCCTGATCCCCTCCTAGAGCAATTCATGTGCCAGGGAGGCCTGACTGCGTTCAGGGTGTCCCTCCCCTGTAGGCAGGCGAAGAAATTCGCAGCATTAGATCTCCAGAGCCACCTGCGGTTTTGGAGAGGGAGCGACTTGGAACTTCCTCCTTGGCCGTTCACTTTCAGGGTGCTCAAGATTCCTCGGATCTTGTTCAATGTGTTTTTTGCTTTGGGTGAGAAGAATGCTTGCTCTCCTGCAGCGTCTGCTGCAGCTCGGAGCCCTTTCGGAAGTAGCAAGAAGCTTGCCACTCACGCAGTTAGTGCTTCTGGAGCTATCTCCATGGGACAGGCGAATTATGCGGTGAAAGGGGCACAACTTCGATTCCCGAGTTGTTTTCTCTCTTGGTTCAGCCCCCCGACAAAGCACTGCCGCTTTCAGACGCGAAGCGGACACAGAGCCAGCGCACCCGCGCCTTTCCGGCTGAGATAAGCCGCAGTGCTACAAAAGCTCAAGAGTTCGTCAGATCAGGCCCAAGATGGTGTTTCAGTGCCTCATGCATGCTAAGGCAGCTTTGCCACAACAAACAGGTCGCCTTGCCCAACAGTCAAAGATCCTGTGCAGATACCTGATGGTTTCACGCCCAAAAAGTCGAGGAGTCGGGTTCAACTGGTTTGCAGTATCCTCGCCACATCCACGCTGGATGCCATGTTCTCGAATCTGGACTTGCGGAGCATGCGCTCCCTGCAGTCGCAGTCGCGATCCCAGCAGCGGCTGCTAAAGTCACAGGCTGGGATGACAAAGACGGCGTTGTTCCTGAGTTCCAAACCATTTGTTGGAGACTTTTGGGACACTCGCACATGCAGACCTCCTTTGCTACCTAGACTCGCAATCAAACATGCACAGCTTTGCCCCAGCGCAAAACTCGCCTTTCCGCGACGTCGCTCATGTGAAGAGGGAAGGTCGAGGTGAACCGCGTCGCAGCACAAAATCGATCATGGCGAAGTCAACTTAAGAGACGTGACACCACACAACGTCTTGCAGATGGAGAAACGAGACAAGTTCATGTGCCGAACCTTGCAATCGAAGTAGCTTTTGAACGAAGTATCGCAGTATCATGTTCTTAAAGCTCTTTAAGTCTTTATCTCTTGGCCGTAGCAACGACCTGATGTGATAGTATCAATGCTGAGCCTACCTGGATCAGCGACTCAGCCAGCGAGGTGCGAGATGTAGGGTTCTCGCTCATTAGTGCCTCTGGTCAAGAGAATGAGAAAGCAGCGTTTAAGCCCTGAAGCCTACAAAGGATTCCTCAGCATGGCATCGGTCCCCATAGGACCCACTGCCTGCAGGCATCTTTGCGGCAGAGGGCCTTGGCATCCCAGCCCGCCGCAAGACCTTTCCGGCAAAGCTTTGCTTTTTCATGTTCGGGTTGAGTATGTAGAGAGCGACATTAGGAGGGAATTCTTTGTTCTTGACTGTGGTTTTACATCTCCAGGTAAGCAGCCACCAGATCAGTGGCGCTCGGAAGGAAATACCAGAGAACGAGGCCAGCGAGGGGAACGGGGGCTTGACGTGCACACGACCCTGCAGGTGGTGTGTGTGTGTGTGAGAGAGCTTGTTCCGACCGACAGCAGGTAGATGTCCTGAGCCGTCTGACTTTGGAAGAGCTGCAGCAGCTCGTGACATCGCCCCCGGTTCTGGACGAAGGCCTTTTCTCGTCTCTGAGCGGATTGAGTGAAGTGTGTGTTGCAGCTTACATGCTCTGTGTTACACTCTTCTCAGTCTTTACCTTCGGCAGCTACTGTTGAGAGAGCTTGTAGATTGTAGAGACGACGTACTGTACTGTAATGGAAAGGCATGTAATGAGATGCAATTGTATGTGTATAAAGACAATACATCTGTGCACCTGTGTTTCAGTACTGAGTATGTGTCTGAACATGCACAGATATGGTCCTAGCTTTGAGATTTCCTTTGCTTGTGCAGGCGACTACCAGGCCAAGTTGACCCTTCTGAGCCCCAGCCGGGTGCCGCTAGCATCCAGCGGTCCCATTCATCCACAGTGGGTCCAAGTGCACGTTTACAACCTCAGCGAGACCCTCGGCTAAAACTCTCTGACATTTCCACGCACCTGGTGTGAGAACTTCCACTTTGCTCTTTGACCTGTGGAGGAATTTCGTCGGTGCCAACCAGATGTTGGCCTTTGCCGAAAGCGGCCCCGCCTTAGGCGGCGCATTCCACGTGGGTGTGGAGGCAGACGGACTTTGCCCCGGATCGCGTGAAATTACAATACGCCCCCATTCAGAATTCCTCTACACCCCGAACCTCTGAACCCTAAACCCTAAACCCTCTAAACCCTAGAACCTTAGCCCGTGTTAAACCGTACTGTTGCAGGTGTTTGGAGCCGAGTGGTCTTATGGAGTCTATGGCATCGCTTGCGATCCGCCGCGTTCGGAGACGGCGCACGTCTACGAGTGCAGCGTTTACGTGGGGTCGACAGCCGCTTGGTGTCCATCCGTTGCAAGAGCGTCAGACCACTAGAACTACTGTTATTATCATTACAATGTTGATTATTATTGTTGTTGTCAGTATCGCAACTATTAGTTGTAGGTCATCATCATTATTATCCCTTTACTTTTTCCGACTGCTATTGTTGTTACTGCTAGCCCGCTTTTTGTTATTGCTCTTGGCACACCAGGGTGCCTTGGGCGGTCAACGAGGTCAAGAGCCAGATGGAAGTTGCCGACATCCTCCATACGCTCTGCCAAGAATGGCGTGGACAAGACTACGACGTCTTGAGCCACAATTGCTGCAGCTTCGGGCGAAGGCGCGATCTGTTCTGTTCCTCTCTCTCTAAACCCTAAACCCCTAAACCCTAAACCCTATACCCTCAACCCCTAAACCCCTAANNAAAGCCTAAACCCCTAAACCCTACATGCCGAAACTATGGAAAGCCCTCTGTCAGGTTCGTCGAAGCGCTTGGGGTGGGACCCATGCCGGACTGGGCTCGGTTTTTGTGATCTTCGTGGGGTCTAGGGGTTTAGGGGTTTA